TTGAGAGTGTTTGAGAGAATTACAAGTTTCTTTTAAAAAAAAGCTACAAATGAAATAAATACGAATCAAGTCGGTAAAACTTGCACTATCAATGTCATTTAAGAACCTTGAAATACCAAGAATGTGTCAATACGGATAATTTAATTTGTCCCTGTCCATCTAAATTCATCATCTACATGTTTGGTTGTTGCATTAAAAGCTTGAATATACATATATATATATATATATATATATTCAAAATTTTGTTTCTCCTAAAATATTTAGTTCCCAATATGTCGGCTCACAAGCAGTGGCGGATCCACTCTAGGTCTAGGGTGTGCTGTTGCACACCCTTGATTTAAAAAAAAAAAAATTTACCTATATATTTATCATTATATAATTTCAGATGAGCGATGTTAAGAAGATCAAATGGTAGTTCAAGTGGTAAGCAGGCATAATTTTGTCTACAAAGTCACAAGTTCGAGTTCTATTATCTACAAATATTAATTTTTTTTTTCTAATTTAACTTTTATTTATTAAATTTCCATTTACACTACATTTTCTCTCCAATATTTTTCTATTTTTTTCAAAATTCTCCAAAAATTGCAAAAAAATCTTGTTAGTTTTGATATTCTTACATATTAGTATTATTTTTTGTTTTTGTGTATATTATTTTATAAAAAAAAAATTCTCGGGGGCTCTGCCCCCGAACCCCCGTAAACTTTTACAATTTCGAACACCCTTGGCTAAATTCCTGGATTCGCCACTGCTCACTAGGGAAGTAACTATGGATGCGTTTGACTTTGACTGTATCTCTTGAAAAAATAAAAATAAAAATAAAAAAAAAATAATAATAATAATAATTATTATTATTATTAACTAAAAAGAAAATAATAATATATTTTTTTTTATAAATTTTTGAACACCCTTACCGGATTTGCCATTGTTCAGTTCATGAGAGACACCTTTTCCATTAGTGATAGAAAAGGATATAAAGAAGTTGATAACAAAACTTTGAGCGATATAGTTAATTAAAGTTATTGACTAATTAATCAAAATTAAGGTTTCGTCATTATGTTACATCAATCATATTGTCAATAAACCAATCACTAATCCTGGATTAGTCATGAACCAATCAACTGCTTTAATTTCATGCACTCTCTACCCCCACATGATGCACACACAAACTCAAAGCAAAAAAAATGAAGAAGAGAATTGAGATTTCTTTTACATTTGTGAAAGCTTCTGAATCTAGTTAAAAAAGAAACAAATTATATATTATATATTTTTGCAAATTATATTTTTTTTTATCTTTTATCAGTAAACGTACCCAAAAAAAAATGCGCATCAAGTTGTATATCACGGGTTCGAATCCACATGGTGACCACTGGTTTTAGATTGTTTGAATATAAACTTGTATGTTTTTAGTAGCAGAAACTTTGAATATCTGAGTTTTATGAGTTATTGAGTTCAGTGACCTTGTGTTATATGGAATTGTTAAGAAAATCGTCGTATTATTAATATTAGCAAAACTATTCATACCACGATGTACATTTCTAGCACAAAACCATCTAAATATACAATAATAAAATGGATAGTTTGTAACAATTGAAGTAAACAACACAGAATACTGATGTAGTGGCGGAGTCAGTATAGGATCAGAGAGACCGTAGCCCCCTCAACATTTCTCAAATTTCTATTAGTTTATATAGCAAAAAAAATATGCACACAAGCATTAAATGCTTCACTTCAGAATTAATTTTATGCATTCGGCCCTGAACTTAAAATCCCGGCTCTGCTAATGACTAAATGCAATAAATAAACCCCCAAACAAGTCTTAAAATCCCAATTCTTGTAGAGTAGTATAAAATTCAATTGTGAAGCCAAATAAGATAATTAATTACATATAGAAATTAAAAGCAGTTGAATTGAGACCTTTCATCATCCCTTATTACTATATATTATTATTTTATTTAACAATTTATTTTCTTTGGTGCATAATTGCATATAGATGAGGGGGGCAGCAGCTCTATATAAGTAATCATGACATTTTTTGTGTCATCATTACAATTCTTGAAAATTAAACTCTCATATGTACATATCAGCCCACCACATGGGTGCATATTTAACACTATTTTTCCACATAATAATTTCTTTAACTTATTCCCATTTTATAAGTATATATATATACACACATATATATATATGTATCTTAATCTTGCATTACATCAAACCACCAATAGGCACTTAAAACACTTATCACTTGTTCTTGCAAGAAACCAAAAGAACACTAGCAAACATGTGTATGGGTTCCAATGATCAATGGATGCAAGTACACAAACCTCACTTCTCTACACGAAAACCGACGCGAACCCGGGTTCGTATTCTCCGTCTCGCAAGGTACGTACGAGCGATTTCTATATATAGAATATATATTTAACTACATATATATATATACTTTGTCATGATCATGTATGCTACTTATTAATTAACAGAAGGAAGCAAAGAGAGGAAGGCATAATTAATAATAATGGGAAAGAAATGGAATTGAAGAATATGAAGCTATACATGGAGAATATAATTATTTTACAAGAGAATGAAAAGTTGAGGAAGAAAGCTAATCTCCTTCACCAAGAGAATCTTGCTCTCATTTCTCAGTTTCTGAAAATATTTTCATAACTCTTATAATTAATTAGCAGAAATTAATTTCAATAATGGATTTTAACACTTTTTTTTTTGTTTTTTTTTTGTTTTGGTATTTGCACTATTTTATGCAATGCAATAATTTCTTATGTATTGTTATAAGTATCTGGCAGGTGTGTCAATAATAAACTTTTTTTTCTTTTAATATATTACTCTGTTTTGTAAAAGAATTAATTACAGCATGAGTGTATTACAAATTTACATGCATGGACACTGTAAAACCATGCAGTTTTGGTGAAACGACGAATCGGAATTTTGGTTCTGTAAGTTAGCCTAGTAAAGGATTTAGTCGTCTAAGTTTTCCCATTTCGAGTTTTACGTGTAGTGATTTTTTTTTTTTCAAATTTAGCATGTTCGATTGAACTTGTTATCGTATCAGTTAATTATTGACGCGCAATCAAAATTGCCAAATTTTATTTACATAAACACTTCAAAATTAGAGAAATTACACATCTCCATCGTAAAATAACTTTCATATCATAAACATATTACAACACATATTTATCATATGAAAACTTAACGTTCGGAGTGAAGTACAAAATGGAATAGAGAAAATCGAAGAGAAAACTCGAAATCCCCAAAACTTCTCTTTGCTTTCAATTACATATAAAAGAAAATTTCCACTGGGAATCGAACCGGTTACTTTGATTCTAATACCACTTGTCAGACCTCCCAAATAACAAGTGTTCACAGCAATCGATTGCGACTTGACCTACACACCAATTAGGTGCATGAATGAATATACGAAATAATGAAAAATTCTCGATCTCTCTCAATTCAAAAATCCAGGATTTGAATCGATTTTCTTTCAGTGATTCCACCTTATTAATCGTATCGATTCACCATAAAGATTTCATTTCACTTCAGTCGAAATTTGGTTATTCAATGGTTAAAGCGCCCAACTCATAGTTGACGAATCGGAAAATTCGTAGAGATTCAATTCCTAATGAATGCACGCAAATACGACTTCCAACGTATAATAAAAGTCAGCTAGAAAACCGATGCATGCACTTGCTCAAATAATACAAAGAATCCATTAATTGCACATAATTTTGGCAACTAATTAACTGCATGCCTCTTTAAAGCAAAAATGCATAAGGTCAAATTGTTTGGCTGGAATCATAATTCATAATATCATCAGCTCATATCTAATATTAGATGCGAAAGAGACAAGTACCCACCAATTCAATTATTTACAGCAGAACCTCGATAAATTAATAACTTCGCTTAAATAATATTTTCTTCTAGTGCTGACTCGGTAAAAACTTACTAAATTATTAGTTCGACAATTTAATATTTCGGTAAATTAATATTTTTTTGCAAGTCCCGACTGTATTAATTTATAGATGTTTAATTAGATCCTGATTTTTGACGTACTTATCAAACTTGTTTAGGCAACTTAAAGAGTTTAATTACAATTCATTTCCCTTGATCGTGGTTTCTCGATCATCATTAATAAAACTCGAGTTACCCTTGATTTCGATTCCAGGTGTTGGTCAAAAACCTCCATCATTATAATAAGGGGTATTTAAAGGGGTATATATATATATATATATATATATATATATATATATATATATATATATATATATATAGAGAGAGAGAGAGAGAGAGAGAGAGAGAGAGAGAGAGAGAGAGCAGAAGCTATATATTATGTAAAAGTGGTGAGTTATGGACCAGTTGAGAAATATGCATCAACCAAATTAGTCAAAGTAAGCATCATAAGTGCAAACTTTGGTCCAACAATGAATAATAAACATAATTGACTTGCCAAAAACCATAGAAGAACACAAGAATATTCAAACTAGTGATGATGATAAGCAAGAACAAGAATAATTAAAGTCCAAACATATATGTGAATAATATATATAATTAATTATATTCTTGGTGTTTTTTTGTTTTTTAAACATTATAATAATTAATAAATTGAGAGCCTAATTAAGTCAAAACCAATTGATTCACCAACTCACCGGTCATGATAGAGTGCAGGTGCAGCAGCTTGTAAAAGTTCCGAATACACTTTCTCGATTAGAAAACGGGCTTGTTTAGAAAATTAATTCCGTGCCTCGGTGAATATAGAGAAGATGAAGAACAACAACAACAAAATAATTACATCATCAGATTCTCTTTTCACCTTCGACGAACAAAAGAAAGATCATTAACTGGATCAATAAATCCCAAAATTGGCTCGATCAGCCGAAGAAAGGAATTACCATTGGGACTAACATATATATATATATATATATATATATATATATATATATATATATATATATATATATATATATATATATATATATATATATATATATATATATATATATATAAGAAATACTTCACGAGTTCTCGGAGCGTTTCTGTGAAGAAACGTAGATGCGGTAGGCAGCAATACACATTGTTGCATTCCCGATTAAAGTCAAAGCTGCAACAATTACGAATTATTATGTGTATATATATATATATATATATATATATATATATATATATATATATATATATATATATATATATATATATATATATATATATATATATATATATATATATATATATGGTCATAACTTATATATAGCGAAAAAGTATTAATTAAGAAAATGAAAAACAAATGTAGTACTAATTACGTAGCCAGTCTCATAATAATTAATTGGCAGTAAGATGGATTCAGCCTAAGCAGCTCAATGCGTTACGATTTACGAGTGAATGAGCTACATATGATTCCCAGCATTCAATTATTCATTCTTTCTCCAATCTGAAATTGCTTATCAATTATTCATTCATTCACGGACATTTATTTACGAGCATGTAGCCAAGCAACGATCCGTATTCATCCAAAATCAATATTAAAAATCCCTAGACCTACAAAACCAGATAACAAATCGGTAAGAAATTTACTATTTACATGGAATGAGGTCTTCTGTGGATGCATTCAAAGGGAAAAAAGGGTGAGAGAGCCACTAAGGCTGCGTTTGGATTAAAGGATTTGAAATCGACCACAAATGCTCAAAAAGCAACTAAAAGCGAGAGCTATGGATTTGTAATCACTCGCTCAAATCCCTCCATTCAAATGCACCCTCAGTGGATTTATGATGGATTTGAAATCCCTCGCTCAAATCCTTCCAACCAAAGGAGGCCTAATATTTGGATCCAATCCAGAAGTTGGGGTTTGTTGCAGATATTAGCTATTGAATCGTCCGTGTAACAACTCAAGAGATTCTCTTTACAAATTCTTTTATCTAAGGTCTGTTCCTTTACGTCAACTCTAGTTACTTTTGGCTCAAGTTACTGACGCTAAAGAGAAAGTTGTTCGATATTTCAGCAAAATTACCGGATGAAATCAATAATGATGTTGTGGCTTTAAGAAGCATTTATATTATATCGGTGAAACCATCAATATTTGGACAAACTAAAAGGCTCGATAAAATATAGCCAGAACACACATGTATAAAGCAGTACATTCAAATCAAATGCAACAATATTTTTAACCGAAAACATTTTTTGCTACGACCAATAACTGAAAAAGATTGTTGTTGTACGTACCTCAAGAGACTCGGAGTTGTAAAAGAAATGCCACGTACATGCACAAAGCGCTCCACCTAGCAGAGGCACCTACACAAACAGGTTTAGCATGTCAAGTAGTTATTCCATACCACCAAACTTACTTTCTTTTTATTCAAGCATAGTAGCACTCTCCATATTTAATTTTCTAAAAATCTACAAATTTCCGACATTTATTTTTTCCAAGAAATCACTAACGGAACTTATAATACCAAACTCTAGTGACAACAACCTCCTCCCTCAACTATGAATCTTCTTACACGTTCACTCTTATGGTGTCAAAATTCGACATAATCTTCTAGATTCCGTGGAATTTTCTCTAGTTTGTACTTGTTTTGCGCAAAAATGTAGTTTCTGATGCACCAAATCTGATATTTACAAGCCAAGAGACACATTGTATGACATATTGTATGATCATCTTGTTTCAAAATGTGGAGCTCGAATGGAGTAAAACGGGTACAAACTGGAGAATAATCCACATAATGTAGAAGATTCCACTAAATTTGACACCGCAAGGGTGGACGTGTAAAAAGATTCATAATTGAGGGAGGTGGTCGTGATTACCCAAACATGAGAGTTTTTTTTTCGTAATTTGACCTTCCCCCAGGGGTGGCCGTAATTTACTCTATAACTCAAACATTTTGAGTTCACTTGAGAAATCTTCTTCAACAAGTGTTTTCAATAACTAATCAAATTATAGTCCAAATGCAATAAAATATTACAATAGCATAAGAAAAGAAAAAGAAAAAAAAAAGGGAAAGAGAATTCACCATTCCCCAAGAGAGACCTTTCCAAGATTCATAACCAGATTTCTCCCCATACTGCCACACCAAACCCATCGCAGTTGCCCTTTTTATTTAACAAACAGCGAAAATAAAATATTTATTAATTTAAAAAAAAATACACAATTACACTACATTATTAATAAAAAAAAAAAAAAAAAAAAAAAGAAATCAATTTACCATTCGACAACGCTGGAAACATGAACAGCCCAGGTGGGGAGGGAGAGAGCGTTGGAGGGTTCGTTGAGAAACAAAGAAGAAGACTCAGCAGCGTGGGTGGGTCCCACGAGGGATATTATCGTAATTCCAGCAGCTCCTATCAAAATGTTTATGGCTTTTGAGCTCTGGTTTGACTCTGTAGAAACTGATTTTTTTGGTGCTGTAGTAAGATTACATTTTTTGGCAGCAAATACGCGAAATTTGGGGGAAGGAGTAGGTGTAAAGAGGTGGGCTTGTCTCGAATTTGGGGAAAAAATTGGTTTTGGAGGAGAGAGAGAGTCTAAAATCCCCATTTCTGAGAGAAGGGTGCAGTTTCTTGATTAGATTTGATGATATAAATGAGAGGTGAAGAAGAAGAAGAAATAATGGTGGCAAATTTTAAAAGATTAGTTTTCTTATGTATTCAAATTGAAACCTTTAGTTAATATACTTCCCCCTTCCAATTTTATTTATTTTTCTAGAAAAATAAAATTATTTTAAAATAATTATTACTTTAGGATTTCAATAAAGTATTTATTGTATTTTTCTCAATTATGTATGTACTATTTTTAAGAGAATTAATGATAAAACATTTATAAAAGTGAATTTTTAGTTATTTTATGGGTAAATAGCACTTAACCCCCTTGTGGTTTGGACATTTTCCACATGACCCCTTATGGTATAAAATTAGGCATATAACTCCCTTGTGGTTTGAACATTTTGCACATAATCCCTTTATGGTATGAAATTAGGCACATAACCCCTTTGTGGTTTTGACATTTTGCGCATAACCCCCTTATGGTATGAAATTAGGCACATAATCCCCATTGAATATAAACCGAAAAAGACTAAATTACCCCTAAAGTTTAGCCAAATTCCAACCATACCAACTGTTCGTTGGTTACTCTATATCAAGTCAAAATTTCTTATTTTAATTTAAAAATAACTATTCTATAAAATGAAAAGTTTAATGTATTTTCTGTAAAATGAGAAATATAATGTATTGTTGCGTTTTTTTTTTAATTTTACAATACAAAAGGTATATAATAATAGTTATTTTACGATTGACAATTTATTCAATTTTAGAAATCAATTTGAAAATCCCATATGCTACAATCAAATATAAAAGGATTAAACTCGATATAAAATTATGAACTATCAATTTCTTTGTTCAATTATAATTCAGTAAATTAATTCTACACATTTCAAAGCTTTAATAATATTATTAATTATGATTATTATTTACTACTTTCTATATAACATATTATATTATAGCTGTTATCGAATTTTATTTTTTTAAGAAACAAAGTCTTTATTCTTTAAGAGTAGTTTAGTCTTTTCCAGTTTTCTATTCAAGGGGTTATGTACCTACTTTCATACCATAAGGGGTTATGTGCCTAATTCATAGCATAAGGGGATCATGTGCAAAATGGCAAAATTACAAAGGGTATGTGCCTAATTTCATATCATAAGGGGTCATGTGCAAAATGTCCAAACCACAAAGCGGTTAAGTGCTATTTACCCTTATTTTATTATGTTTTATCTAGAATCATGCACATTTATTAGTTTTCTTAATACGTGTGAATTAGCTTGAAATGATAAATAAAATGAGAAGGAGGGAGTATAATATATTTTCGGTTCCTATATAATTATTCTGCTCAAACTTAATTGCAAATATATTCAGAAAATAAAATTGTTCCACAAAAAAGTCATGCCATTTTTTTTTTAAATATCCCTCAAAATATAATCTACATCAATTTCATCTATGAAAAATCCAGCAAAATAATCTTTCCATAAAGCAAGCTGCTAAAATAATTCCCAAGAAAATTTGCACCATTCTTGCACTAAATTTACATGGATTAAACACTATTTAGAATAGAGGATTCTGATTTAATTTATACACCAAGGCCCCGTTTGGTTGCCAAGATAAGCCATGATTAACTAAATAGTTGGACTTAATTTGATGTTTGGTATCCTCAATAATTTGCCGGGTCGATCCGCCAAAATTATATAATCATGGCTTATCTTGTCTTATCTTGGCTTATCTTGCCTTTTAATGAGTTTTTTTTGTTGGACCTTTCAAGCTCCAATAAAATAATTGGGTCTCATTAGATTATTTAATCTTATCTTGGCTAATCTTATCTTGTCAACCAAACGGGGCCCAAATATACTAAAGTAAAATTGGCAGTCTGGAATTTTCCCGACAAATAAAAACCCGAGATCGCATTCCTATACAAAATATGCTCACATGAATAAAGAAATGGCAAAAACATCAAATTGATCATTACACTTTCTCTTGCAACATTAATGTAGATTAGCTGTTATGATTACCTTTTGCCCCCTCGTGCAGATTAAGACTCTGAAAGAATGGAGTCTTGATATAATTTCAACGTTATGTGTATATACTTAAAAACTCATAATTGCCATTCGAAGCTCGATACGAAAAACAAGCGATCACTTTAACACTACTGCCTCTTCCATCTTCAGTTCCTTCAACCTTCGTTTGGCGTACAACGTGACAATTGCTGTTGTTGTAGCAGTAATGCCAAAGCCAGCTAGGTTTAATATTATCTGAGAAGCTGTCAAAGACTGCTGATCGTATGAAGCATCGGCCAACGTTTTTATGAAGATGCCACTGCATTTAAAATTAAATAAAAAATACCCCGTCAGCCCAATTGTGTACAAAAGCAGAAAAAATAATTTCAATCACTAACAACATACTAAACCAGAATTAAAAAGCAAGGAAATTTTCGATCACGGTTAATCGATCTCACTTTCTTTATCCCGACGCGACACAGCAAAATTGGTATTCAAAAAGAGCATATGTTATTTTCTCCGTTTATTTCCATATAAAGTGGGATGCATCTATTTAAAGGACTCTAAAAGACGGTTTTACTATACACCTGCCATGCAAGATACATCGTTTATTGAAAAACGAGAGAGAGAGAGAGAGAGAGAGAGAGAGAGAGAGAGAGAGAGAGAGAGAGAGAGAGAGAGAGGTTTCTCACGTATAAAGTGTAACAAATATTTCTGGCACCATTCCGACCAAAGTCCCCAGCAAATAAGGACCATACTTGACATCCGTAGCTACCGCACAGTAGTTATATACGATGTAAGGGAAGGGAGATATCCTAATGAATGCGACAGCTCGGAACTGATTAAACGAGTCTCCTTCACCTGCTAATCTTATTACAGACGCTTTCTTCGGATATCTATCTAACCAAACCTGCAGTTAAAGAAGAAAAAAATGACGTCTACGTTGAGCATAAGAAAAAAAAAAGCAAACGTAAATGCATTAAATTATGGCGAGAAATTTTATGTAGAATTCGAATATTTCATACCTGGATTTTATGATAGAAAAGCGAACCAATGAAATACGGAACAGAAACACCAATAGCAACTGCTCCGATAACCAACAAAAACCCGTACACATATCCGAAAGTCATCCCAGCAACCCACATGGAGGGCGAAGAAGGTAAAAGGAGGGACGGAAATATTGTTAGAGAACCGAAGACTACAAGTGCTAGCTTTGTTTTGCTGAATGTTTTCATCTCCCAATTTATAATCGGGATTATTCCCTGGCAAATAATGCACATCATATCCAATGTTAAAAAAAAGGCTATGGCAATAAAGATGATCAAATGCCACACAGGCTTGTAACTTCACTTTTGGGCAGCACCCCGACATATCATAGCAATATGAATGACATGATCGAAAATCATGAACAATGTAAGAAGATATTATATAGCAGAAAGCATCTTCCAAAGAGTTGGATGAGCATAATCGATAATGCTTCATGCTTTTAATGGATGAGCAAGAAACCTATTAACAATAATAAACGGACTTGTAAACTAAAATTTGCTCGTCAAAAAACTAAAGGTAGGAAAGACAAAAAAAACTTCTCCCATGTTTTGTGCAACTGCACGTGTAAACTATAAACAATCATAGAATGTAAATTAAAAAAAAAAAAAGTAACAACGCCATACATCCAATTACAATTTACTTGAGCTAACGTTGATTACTAATTACGAATGTTATCATCATAAATAATTTTACTAGCATAATATATCAAATTGCAGACGGAAGAGAATACAACACGGGTACAACAAACGGGCGGTAAATTACATTTCTTTGTACATTACGGTCAGCATTTCAATTTCACCGATTAAGTCGAAAAACCCCATATGCTAAATTCAAAACATCACGAAAAATTGATGTTTTCGAATGTCATTCATACATTCCTTCAAAAATTAACACATGTGCTAATAGATTTTTTTGCAATTTACACACAAGTTGACTCACAATTCATAAATCATAAGCATCATCATCAATTCATAAGAAACACAAGCAACAGATGAAATACCTAAATGCAGGTATTGTAAACACATATTCATGGAGGAAACACACACACACACACACACACACACACACACACACACACAAAGTGTAATTGAGAATGAAAAATGACCTTATCCATGAGAAAAGGTCCGACCCATTTGAAGATAACGGCGGCGAACAACCCAGCAAATACGACAAGCAGCAAAAGCTTCCCCCACCACCACAGCGATCGCCGCCCTAATCCACAACCATCTCCGCAATAACGAGACGCCACGGCGGCGGCGCAGGGGGGCGAACCATCACCACCACCGCCCTCCAATTTCACGTATTCCCGATCCATCCTAAGATCCTCGTCGCCGGCGGCATTGTACGTCATCACACACACACACAATAATTAATTAAAAAAAAAATCAGTTTGATTTCTGATCAATTAATCGAACCGAAACCGACACACAGTCACAATTATTGAACGAAAATGAAAAGAAGAAAAATAAAAATTTGGGGCCCCCAACCGAATTGAGGGGGCTTGAGATTTTTGTAGCAACAGTCAAAATATAGCCGTTTATCAACTTTATATATTTCTCTTGTTTTTATTTTAATTTTATTTATTATTTATTATTTATTATTTTTTAAAGAGAGCTTAGCAAAAAATAGCAATATGCGGCAATGGAGAAAGAGAAGGAGAGGGAAACACGGGAATTGGGAAGATCGACTTGTGTACATACACACCATCATGCCTATTTTAGTTTAGGGGTTCTTTTTGCAAATAGTCCTTTTATTTTTTCAGATGTTTTTCAACATAAACTTCAAGAAAAATAAATACAGCCACCCCTCTTTTTTAAATATTTTTACATAAATTTTATATAATTCAGTTATTTAACGATCAAATCGTATATTCAGTTCGGTAAACGTTATGAAATGTTGGCGCACCGAAAATTTCGGTTCGATTTTACCGATTTAACATTCCTACATTTACATTTAGAGGGGTATTTTTGTAAAATAATACATAGTTGAGGGGTGACTGTAATCACGTAGAGGTTGGCCGTAATTTGTCCTATAAAATATACAAGAAAAAAGTTAAGGAATTTCGGGTACAATTAGAGGGTGTTTGGCTAAGCTTATAAGATGTTTAAAGTTTTAAAGGAGCTTATAAGATGTTTTAGAGCTTAAAAGTCTTCCAAAGTGTTTGCTAATTTTTTTTAAAAAGATCTTAATTTTTTTAAAAATAAGTTGTTGGAGAGTAAATAAGATATTTTTAAAAGAGTATCTCTACCCAATTTTTATTTAAGATCTTATTATGAATAAAAATAGGAAATAAGTTCATTATTCAAACACTCTAAAAATTAATCCTAAAAATAAGACATAACAGCTTATCATCTCTTAAAACATCTTATCAGATGTAGGAGTTTATCAGCTATTTAAAATAAGTTTAGCCAATCATTACGCCAGAAGGGCAAAAATAAAAAATAAAAAATTAAGTATTTGAGGTTGCATTGCCTGAAACGGTTGAATTGGATTTAAATTTTATTTTTAGGGTTAATAAGATATAACCCCCTCATTAAGAAAAATATTAGGACTAAACACCTTACATTATTTTTAATGGGTCAAACCCCCTCTGAAATATTAATTACTGAACTACCCCACAATTTGTAATAGCAGTGACCCCTCCACCGTTTTCCCCAAAAACTGCATATCCTCAACCATTTTCTTCAATATAATTTCTCCCCAATTTTTCGGTGGTCTGCTATAATTATGCCACGAAAATCGGCCCACCACAAACTGTAATATATATCAGATGGTTTCTAATTTCCAACAACTGCCCTAGTTTGCTACATTTGTTAGAATAAAAAAAAAGCCAGAAAATCATCTGGGAATCAAGAAGAAAACCAGAAAACCAAAAAAAATAAACAATGGTGAAAGACGGTAAGAAGAAAGATAGGTAGTTTCCTATACACCCATCGCTCTCACCGACTTCTATTAACCTACTTTTTGTGCATTTACCCCATGATTTCTCTTTTTGACAACATTCTCAGCGACTACGAAGGACAAATCGAAGTCTCCTACATCAACGGTATGCAACAATACGCAACGACCATATGCGACGGTTCAGAATTCTTCCATGGTTGATTACTAAAAAAATGGAGTTTGTAAACAAGCTTGTGTTTTAGATCTACAATCTATGGTCGCACTATTTTTTGACTCATAAATATTTGTTTCCTATGAAATTTGTTTTATCACAGTCCACAACAAAGAAGAGATCATTGTTGTCGGAAAACGTAAAATATTGTAATCATCTACAGTCAGAGTCAACTATAAAATCGGATAGTTCACTATATTTTTCCCAAAGTCAACTATAAAAATTAGATAGTCAACTATAATTTTTACGATGTCAACTATAAAAAAATGGTAGTTAACTATATTGTTGTCAGAGTCAACTACAAAAATGAGATAGTCAACTATAATTGTTCCGATGTCAACTATAAAAAAATTGGTAGTCAACTATAATTTTTTCATTAATTCACTATATTATTTTTCAATTTAAGATACTATGGTGTTATAAAATCGAATACTTGTGATAAAAATCTAATCCCCGGTGAAAACATGTGTTTCATAGAGTAGAAAATAGATTGATTTCAACGATCAAAATATGAGATGTAGAAGAAAAGATGAAGTAGTGAGAACAAATAGAGAAAAATAAAGAGAAAAAAATGAAACAGAAACATATGAGAGCAGAGGAAATAAGGGAAGAGAGAGAATAGAGAGAAGAGGGGAGAGAGAAAGAGAGAAAAGGAATAAAAGAAAAATATACGAGCATGGAGGAAATTATGGAAGATAGAAGAGAGGAGAGATAAGAAGAAGAATAAAAGCACACGTCAAAGGTGAGGAAATAAGGAAGAGACGAGGTCTTAGTATGCCCGCCATC